CCACAATTTTCAATTTTTCTTTACGTTGTATTTTAAGAAAAAAATTAAAAAGTTCTGTTATATCAATTTTTTCTTATTTACAATGCTCTATACATACATTTTTTTAAAAGTGAAGGTACTAGTCAACATTTTTATGTTCAACGTCCTTGTCTTTGATATTATTTGCAAATAGGAGCAATAAATTTAGGACTTGAGTAATAAATGAACAATAAATTAACACTTAATTACCATGAACTCGAAAATTTTAATGGTAAATGTGCTATGTTTACAGAAATATTTTATTCTAAAAAATTAGATGATTTTAATATCATCCAATTGTTGTCTTTAATTATTACCAATATTTTGATTGATTAAGATAAATATCAAGCTCATTTCTATTTCTAAAAAGTAAAAATACACACTTTTTATTATAGATTCTTATTGTGTTAGTTTTATAAGAAGTTTAACACATTTTTATATTTTTTTCTTGTCTACCTTATTATTGAACTTGAATTTATTGCGTCTTGTTTAACTTTAAAAAGTTATTTGACACAATATAACAATACTAGTTCAAGAAATATGTATACAAAAAAAATATATATATACATATATACGAAAAATGTATAAAAAGTTTACGAATCAGTAGGTATGCGTCGCGCGATTTGGCAACAAGAAATAACTCATTGTAGCGTACGATTTCTAGACACGTAATGAACGTAAACATGAAAGGGCGCTCTCTAAACAAATCATTGTTTGTGACTTGTAAATCTTTATTAGTTACTATCTTATTAATTTTGCGAAAATCTCAATTTGCGACTATTTCAATTTGCAAGCGAGTCCCACAAATTATGGGACATCCTATATATAAAGGAAACTATCAAGAAATTAAGCTATAATAAACTATGATAAATTTAGAACTACGATATTTTCAGAGTTACGATGCGAAGAGCAATAAATCTTAAAAATATGTTGATATCAAAATAGATATAGCATCTTTGTTTATTACAATTTATTTTTATGTTAAACTGCAACTGATAGATCATTTATTTACGTTAAACAAAGTATAACTGCAATATATTTGAAAGTGATATTGTATTTTGAAAATAAATTTAAGAAACATTTTCATATCAAAATATGAACAATTAACTTTTTCAACATAGTTTGCTCTTGTAATCTCATGTATATTATATGATCTTCGATTATTTTTTAAATTTTTTTTGCGAGCAATGAATTTACAGGACCAGAATATTTTAAAAGCAATAAATTTAAAAAACACTTTAATTGACATATGAAGTTGACATTGCTGTAAAATTAATGCAATATATTTAAAAAATCAAAATTTTATTTGCTATTTATTTCATTTTATTTGCATCTGCAATTGTTCTGCAGCTAATGGGTTTTAAAAATAATTTTATAAATGTTGATAATATTTGAAAAATATATATATAAACATTAGATGTTAATTTTTCGTGACATCTTATGCTTCGAAAAAATAATTTTAACTATAAAATTCTATAATTTAGTAAATAATAAATTTTTTAAAATTATATAGTTTCTAATATGTTATATCAATAGTTCCGGCTTGTAAATATTTTTAAATATAAGTTTTTAGTATGATTATTGTGTGTAATAAAATTCATATAGTTAAGAAAAATTAATATCTAGTTATATTGAAATTATTAAATTAAAAAGTAAAAATACACTGCTCAAAAAAATTATGGCATAGAAAAATTTTGAGCAAAAATTGGTCAACTTTGGTTAACGGTAACTCCGCGAAAAATCATCGTAAAATGATGAAT